TTTCGGAAGGCCCTATTGAAAGCCCTTGGGTTTTTATTGGATCAGGCGGTAATAGGGTGGGGCAGGGGTTGAGAGAATGGATCCAGTTATTGGCAGTTTTTAAAAATTTCAATAAGAAATTGGCATTTTTCAATATTTTGCAATTAGGTGAGATGTTAGGTGTACACTTCTTATAGATATGCTTTATCAAATTAAGGGAACTCTCTTTTTCAATTTGCTATGATGATTTTTATATTAATAATAAAACCGAGTTGAATTTTCAAAAAGATTTTTTTGTATCTTTAGAGATTATCATGTATTTTTTCTATTGCTAATGTGGACAATAACAGATTGATTTTCAAATAACAGACCCAAGTCGAGTTCCTGATAAGCTCCATTAGATTATGATGCATTTTTTAAAGTATATTACTTGATTCAGAATGCTAACATATTATGATTTTGCCCCGTAATTTTGAGAAATATTCCCTGATGAAAAAACTGAGGAGGGGCACTAGAGTGATGAATGAAATGTGCATATAAATACTTAAATTTGCTAATATTTAAACAGGCCTTTCTGTGTATGTTGTTGTCCCACTCAGCCAAAGACTTTTCAAATACAGGAAACGTGTTTCATTTGCAGCATGTCAACAGTCAAGATTGGCCTCAGTCAGTTCTATTTTTGAAAAGACTCTGAAACAAATTTTAGTACACAGTAAATTTTTGAGTATTCCAACAGCAGGGGAAAAGCACTGAGGTATATGAGGTGAGCAGAGAGACATATTTTATTTGCTTGGCTTTCCCCTCAAAATATTGCTGAAATAAACACTCGTGTGAGATTGCTTTATTAAAGAGTGGTCCTTACAAAGTGGGAGTGAGAAGAAAGAGGAGAGGGGCAGGCACGAGTATATTCAATGCTATGCTTCCTAGTTGCTCAATCTTGTATCAAGCATGACCAGAGGTGACTTTACTATCAAATCCATAAAATTTAACTTTAAGGCAAACTTCCAAAGAGTTTGTAAAACATTTGTCCTAAAACATTTTTGTAATTCTCTCATAAAGAAAATCCCCTACTTCCTGTATGAACACTGATTCCACAAATTTGAACCCACTCTGAACACCACTGATTTGTCTATCTTACGAACCATCTTCTGAGAGGCCATATGAATAACTGCTTCTCAGCACAGTCCACTTAGGAGAAATAAAAGGATGGAATATATCCACTGTTGAAGAGATAACACAATTCTCACAACAAAAGACCCCAGTGTACCAAACAGAAGAGAGAGGGAATACTAGTGTATTGAGCTGGCATTAACATGCATATAAGGTAGCCTGAGAACTACAAAGTTAGGCCTCATCTCATACATTTTCAGCAGAGCAGGGGGAAGCAGGATTAATTCCTTTCTTTCTTCAAATAGAGAACACCTTGCAATAGTATCTTGCTATCTGCTGAGAGACCCTCAGCTCATTCTAGGGGTACTTTTAAGAAATGTCTACATAGTATTTGTCCCATGCCTTGGATAAATTGCTACGTTGTACAAACTTGAGATTCAGCTTTACCTTTAGAAGGACTAATCTAAATTCCAACAGCTCAGCTATGGATTAAGACTCACCATATTAAATGTGATGTTACTTTTGCATTTTTACATGGTGTGTAGGAAAACAAACAAAACACTCTCAAATAGTATAAGCATAAAAAGATTTATTATGGGATAAAAGTCACTTAAAATCTGGTAGAAAAGTATAGACACAGATTTTAGGCTGAATGTCAGGGAATGATTTTCTGAACCACATTACAAACTGGTTCTCTAAAAGACGTTGCTGTCAGACATTAGTAAACACTGTAATTAAACAATTCAATCAAAGCTAAATCAAAACTTCCATCTTTATCTAATTATGTATCATGTTTGCCTGGAAGCCAGTAGGCCATCTTGTGCAGAAGACTACAAGATTCTTTTAGTCTAGATACCTCCCACTTAGGTCAGTAATAGCTATTATTTGCTTTCTCTGTGTCTATGGCTGTAATAATTTTTTTTTTTCTTTGAGACGGAGTCTTGCCCCGTCACCCAGGCTGGAGTGCAATAACGTGATCTTGGCTCACTGCAACCTCTGCCTTCTGGTTTCAAGTGATTCTCCTGCCTCAGCCTCCTGAGTAGCTGGGATCACAGGTGCCTGCCACCACACCTGGCTAATTTTTTGTATTTTTTGGTAGAGACTGGGTTTCACCATGTTGGCCAGGCTGGTCTCAAACTCCAGACCTTGTGATCTGCCCGCCTCAGCCTCCCAAAGTGCTGGGATTACAGGTGTGAGCCACCACGCCCAGCCAACTTTTTTTTTTTTTTTTTTTCCTTAAATTTTAGAGACTGGGTCTCACTCTGTAGCTCAGGCTAGAATGCAGTGGTACCATAATAGCTCACTTCAGCCTCCAACTCCTGGGCTCAAGCAATCCTTTTGCCTCAGCCTCCTGAGTGGCTGGCACTACAGGCGGACACCACGACATCCAGCTATTTAAAAATATTTTTTATATGTATAGAGATGGGGTTTCACCATATTTCTTGGGCTAGTTTTGGGATTCTAGCCTCAAGTGAACCTCCTGCCTCAGTCTCCCATAGTGCTGGGATAACTGGTGTGAACCACTATACCCAGCCCATAATAAAATTGTTCTAGTCTTAGAATCTTTGTACTTTATATTCTCTCATGAGGGTAACTCCACCTTTAGATTTTTTCCTTCTTTTTGAGACAGGATCTTGCTCTGTTGCCCAGGCTGGAGTGCAGTGGTGTGATCTTGGCTCACTGCAACCTCCACTTCCCGTATTCAAACAATTCTCCCACCTCAGCCTATTGAGTAGCTGGGATTATAGTTGCAGGCCACCATGCCCAGCTAATTTATTTGTACTTTTAGTAGAGATGAGTTTCCATCATGTTTGCCAGGCTGGTCTCAAACTCCTGGCCTCAAGTGATCTGCCCATCTTGGCCTCCCAAAATGCTAGGATTACAGGTGTGAGCACTGCACCTGGCCCAGATTTTTTTTTCTTTGCTTTGTTCATTGCATTATTCATATCAAAGTGGAGGTATCTCTGATAATTCTGTTTTTACTACACTAGCTAATATGGCATCCTTTTAGTTACCTTTCCATCTAACTTGCGTTAGGTTTCTTGATAGTATTTATCACATAAACACTGTCTTATTTATTTGTTGTCACGCTTACTGCTTTGTTTTTTTTCAGCCCCTGATTGTGTCAAACACTTTATGGCCAAGTCCATTTCTGCTTGTTGATCACTTATCTCTGGAACTTTGATCACTTTGTAGCACAATATAGACACTTAGTATTTGTTAATGAAGAGACAATGTATTAAAAGACTGGGTGTGGTGGCTCATGCCTGTAATCCCAGCAGTTTGAGAGGCTGAGGGGGCAGGATTGCTTGACCCAGGAGTTTGAAACCAGCCTGGGTAACATAGGGAGACTCTATCTCTACAAAAATTTTAAAAATTAGCTGGGTGTATGGTGTGCGCCTGTAGTCTCAGCTACTTGGGAGACTGAGGTGGGAGGATTGTTTGAGCCTAGGAGACTGAGGCCGAAGTGAGCAGTGATGCCACTGCATTGCAGACTGGGTGACAGAGCGAGACCCCGTCTCATAAAAAAACAGCAAAAGAAAAAGAAAGAGTAGTCCTCAGAGCTCTATAACTGATTATAAACCACCCTAAAAAAGGATCAAAGTAAAACAATGATTGTGGATGACAAAAGTATTAGAACAGCCATGGTTAAAGACACATTTGACAAGGAAATTTGGTTACATCTGTGGTACTTAACAATTTAATATAATAATCATAATTAGTTCTCATAACATATTCTAAGACATATCAGAATCACAGGAATCTCATACAATTTTGGAACACATACTAATAACACATTTATATAAATAAAAGTCAAATAAGGTTACACACAATTTCATATTTATTATACCAAGTAAGCCAAATATGTCTCCTTGGATTTCAGGGGATGTAATGTCAAAAAAATTAGTGAGACCAAAACCCTAAATTTAGATTTAGATTTTGGAAAGTTTGTGAAACATCAAAGCTTGAAAACACAATATCACAAAATAGCATCACAGGTCATTGTAAAATAAACCATTCATTTAGTCAAAGTGGTAACTCAAATATTTTAAAAACAAAAAGGCAAAAACTTTTACTCTTTGAGACTGACTTTCCCAAACAATAAAACCTAATAAACACAGGATGAAGTCAATTAAATTTTACAGACAAATCTATTAAATTTTAATCATCTTGACCATAAGATATAATTTTTATAAACCTTCTCATAATCTTTCATAATTTTTAAGTAAGGAATGTGTTAATGCTCCAAGAAAACATTGTTAATCTGACCCACATGCTTGTCTTGAATCAGTGTTCCTTTGATATTAATGTTTAATTTATAGACTGGGCACGGTGGCTCATGCCTGTAAACTCAGCACTTTGGAAGGCCTAGACAGGAGGATATCTTGAGCTGAGGCGTTCAAGACCAGCTTGGGCAACATGGTGAAATCTTGTCTCTATAAAAATACAAAAATTAGCCAGACAGGGTGGTGCACCCCCGTGGTCCCTGCTACTTGGGAGGCTGAGGTGCCCGTCTTGCGGGGCAGAGGTTGCAGTTAGCCAGGATAATGCCACGGTACTCCAGCCTGGATGACATAGCTGGACTGTCTCAAAACAACAACAAACACAACTGTTTATTTATAGAGAAAAACTCTGAACTAATTTTATCTCTTAAAATGGATCCTTACAAGCTCACACACCCACTTCTTCTGCAATAGTCTCTGGGAATACAGGGGTTGAATAGTTTTAATTTCTGGACCCATGTCTCATGACTGCAGCTTATTCTGATTTTCTTCTTCTCCTAGGTCTGAAGATGAGGCTTCAACTGCTGTCAATGTTTAAGATTTAGCCAGAGTTGGTGACTTTCTTAGATCCAGGAGTCAAAGCCCTTTAACTTAGTAGCACAAGGATTTTAAAAGAAATACAGAAAGTTACATGGATATAATAACTTTAATTTTTACAAATCTTCCCAAAGAAGAGGTGTGGTGTGGAGGTTGGGGAGAAGAGGTTGAGGGAGGAAGCAGGTCACAATTGAACTCTTGACTGTTCCAGGATAGCTGGCATGAGTATGGGGGCCACACAAGAAATAGAAGGTGAAAGGACAGGGCCCAGAATATACTGAGCGCAGGCCTTGCAGTGTCTGGGTCCTCCAGGCCTCTTCTGCAGAACCCCAGGCCTCTGGCACACGGGGAAGAAAGTGCTGCGCTATTGTTTGTGTCCAGGAAAACCAGGAACTCTTGGACTCAGGAGCCACCAGCTTTTGCAATTTTATATTCTTCTGGTCCTGGGTGTTCCACAAAGCTTAGGAACCTGGCTGGTGACATTAATCCTAGAAGCAAATTGCATATGAAAACGGAATTAATGACATTAACATCAAATTCTATCATCTCATGTGAAAGCTATACAGAGTCAAATAGTTTGGCTCAGGGCATGAAAAGAAAAATTAGTACTGGGCTTATGAAGAGAAAGCTGTTCTGGGGGACCCTGGTTTATAGAAAGTTTATCATTTCCCCAAATCACATTGCTAGTCCTGAGCAGAGACTGGAATTCTGTTCTGCCAGGAGAAAAATGCTTAGGGGCGACTGTCTATTAATGAACATTTGGGATGTTAGTGAAGAGCATGCAAGAGCGGGTGCCCAGTTCTCTCTGTAAAATACACATAAAATTTACCATCTTAACCATTAAGCATACAGTTCATAATGCTTTGCAACCATTGTCATCATCCATCTCCACAACTCTTTGTATCTTCTAAAAGTGAAACTCTGTATTCTTTAAAGAATAACTCCCCACTTTCCTCTCCCTCATCCCTGGAAATCACCATTCTACATTGTGTCTATGATATTCACTATCCCAAGTACACCATGTAAGTGGAATCATACAGTATTTTCTTTTTGTGACTGGGCTTATTTCATTTAGCATAATGTCCCTTAGGTTCACCTGTGATGTAGCATGTTAGCATTTCCTTCTTTTTAAAGGCTGACTGTCTATATGTACCACGTCTTGCTTATCCTTTCATATGTGAATGGACACTTGAGTTGCTTCCTCATCTTTGCTATTTATGCATAATGCTGCTATGAACTTGGGTGTACACATATCTTCCTGAGACTATGCTTTTAATTCTTTTGAGTATATGTCGAAAAGTGAAATTGCTGGGTCATATGGTAATTCTATTTTTAATTTGTTGAGGAACTTTCTGTTTTCTACATTGGCTGTACCAATTTACATGCCTACAACAGTGCATGCATAGGGGTTCCAAACTCCTTATATCCTTGCCAAGTCTTGTTATCTTTTTTTTTTTTTTTTTTTTTTATGGTAGCCATCCTAGTGGATGTGCAGTGGTACCTGTATCTCATTGTAGTTTTGATTTGCATTTCCCTAAGAATTAGTGATGCTGAACATTTTTTTTTCTATGTGCTTATTGGCCATTTGTATGTCTTCTTTGGAGATATGTCTGTTTAAGTCCTCTGCCCATTTTTGAAATGGGTTGTTTGTTTTTTGATCATGAGTTTTAGAAAGTGTTAATTTATTCTGGATGTCAATACTTCATCAGACATATGTTTAAAAATATTTTTCCCCATTGTAGAATTGTATTCAAACTATCAGCGGTTATTGGCAAGCAGTCTATTATCAGTGCATTCAGGGCTATTCATTCTCTATCTATTCCTTCATCACACCCCATTGATCAGTTACTATTTCAGAAACCAGAAAGTTAAAGGCAAGGGAAAAAGTACACAAGGGAATTTCTGGCAATTTTTCATGTTTAATGATTTTTCTCTTCCCCCCCACTTTCTTTTTTTTTTTCTAACATTAGGGTCTTAGGCCTGCCAAAAGAACATTTCCCTCTCTCTCTCTCATTCTCTCTCTCTCTCTCTCTCTTTTTTTTTTGATGGAGTCTTGCTCTGTCAGCAGGCTGGAGTGCAGTGGCACCATCTCAGCTCACTGCAACCTCCACCTCCCTGGTTCAAGTGATTCTCCTGCCTTAGCCTCCGGAGTAGCTGGGATTACAGGTGCACGCCACTAGGCCAAGCTAATTTTTGCATTTCAAGATGGTCTCGATCTCTTGACCTCGTGATCCACCCGCCTTGGCCTCCCAAAGTGCTGGAATTACAGGCATGAGCCACCGTGCCTGGCCAAACATTTCTCTCTTAAATGTATTTTTCTGACACCCTTCTTCCTGTCTGTTGTCCTATCTCCCAGACCTTAGAATGAGATCTTAGGTAAGGAGGTCTTACTAATTAACTGCACTGTTATTGCTTTTTTTTTTCTTTTGAAAACTAGGTCAGACAAAATTCGAGCTATTTAGAGAGAAGTACCACAGTTTCTCTTACCCCTACTTCACAAGTTGGTGACAACTATGAGAACAACGATCAAACCAGAAAATCAATGTATTTAAATAAAAACACATCAGTGCCTACAGCATGCAACACAATAATTAGTCCCTCAGGTAGTCCCTATTTCATAAGCAAACACGAACTGGAGGTATCAGAATTGAGGATGAAATCCTTTGATTAAACGTGAACACTAGCAATGCTCTTACAATCTACTATGAAATGACGGATGATTTTTTTCTGGATATGATATAGCCTCAGAACAGCGAGAGAAGCACAGAGAATGTTGGTGACAGGAAAAGATGGAAAGGGTGAGGTGGATATCTTAGTTAATAAAGAGGTGGGGTGAAAGGGGTTTAGAAAGTAGCTTCCGGAGAAGGAAGTCTGAGCTTTCACGCACCATGGAACTAATACTAGGTAAAACATAGCCCCCAGAATTTCTGGAAAGGAGTAATTAGAATAAAATCCTACTTAATATTTATTATTTTACATGGTGCTAGACTATGCTTAAGGAAGGATACCCGTTAACCTCACTGATATAATGAGTACTGCAATTATATCTGGTTTTACTAATAATGGAAATGAAACACAAGGATTAAACTAACTTCTGAAAGTCAAAGAGGTGAGAAATTTGAACCACAGCAGGATCATGCCAGAATCCTAACATTTAAACCACTAGCCTACAACACAGGCCAGGTGTTTGATTTACCATGTCTGATTTCACCTTTGTCCCAGAACTCAATCCCACTCCCATTCCAAGACTGGGATCCCCAAACCACAGAGGTATCTGCGACTTCCTTGGACTTCCAGGACACACTGGATAGGAGGCTTAACCTTGTGTGTGGGTTTTTTTTGGAGTTGGGGTGGGAGCATTGGGAGAGGGAGGAGGGTTTCAGTAAACACAGGTGGTGATGACAGGACAATCTGAAGATGCTAGGAGAGACCCTAAGCACATTCTAATGGAAAATGTCTTAGGCCTGCCAAAAGAACATTTTTCTCTTAAATATATTTTTCTGACATCTTTCTTCCTGTCTGTTGTCCTATCTCCCAACCTTAGAATGAGATCTTAGGGAAGGAGGTCTTGCTAATTAACTGCCCTTTTATTGCTCATCTTTTTGCTTTTGAAAAGTAGGTCAGACAGGGCCGGGGGCCGTGGCTAATGCCTGTAATGCCAGCACTTTGGGAGGCTGAGGTGGGTGGGTCACCTGAGGTCAGGAGTTCGAGACCAGCCTGACCAACATGGATAAATCCCGTGTCTACTAAAAATACAAAATTAGCCAGGCATGGTGGTGCATGCCTGTAATCCCAGCTACTCGGGAGGCTGAGGCAGGAGGATCTCTTGAACTGGGGAGGTGGAGGTTGCAGTGAGCTGAGTTTGCGCCACTGCACTCCAGCCTGGGCAACAAAGAAACACCATTAAAAAAAAAAGAAAAAAAGAAAGAAAGAGAGAGAGAGAGAAAAAGAAAACCAGGTCAGATAAAATTTGAGCTCTTTAGAGAGAAACACCACAGTTTCCCTCACCCCTAGTACACAAATTGTGACAACTATGAGCCCACCCTGATTAAAGGGAAAGGTATAATTTGACAACCTGGAGAAACATAGATAGCACTGGTTACTGCATAGAATCAGTAAATATGCTGACTCTAACTTGAAGCACTGTTTTGCACTATAAGTAGAACTAACTCTCTAGAGGTTCAGTTTCTCCAGAGGATGATATGGTACTCTCAGCAATGATAACTTTACTTCTAGGAACTTATGCTGCAGTGCAGTCCTTATGCGTTAGTGGTTATGGATTATATGATACAATATAGTCTATAAACTGGATGCTGCTTTTAAAAGAAGACAGTATTTTCCAATAAAGAGGGGGAAATGTCCAAAAACAGTAATAACTGACAAGTTATTTCTCCCTCTATACAATTTCTTTGAAGGAAAGTAATATTCATGTTTGCATTTGCATAAAAACAAAAATATACTCCAAAATATATAAATAGTAGTAACTTATCATTTGGGAGGTTGGGAAAAGGAAGGTATAAGTTCTGATTTCACTTTATGCCTTACTGTCTCATTTCATTTTTAAAGTAATATGTATTATTTTGATAGTAAAAATGTTTAGGAATAATTTAAAAGTAATAAAAGAATTTTAATACTAGTCACTTTAAAAAATTACACTAGGTATTGTTTATGGAAAAAATACTAGATGATAGCTACTCTACGAAGAGTTTTATTTATACTATCCCATTTGGTTAGGTGCCATTATTTTGTCCATACCATAGGTAAGGACGTGTAGTTTACATAATTTAAGTAATTAGTCAGCATGAAGGGAGGCTCAGCAAGTCTTTATCTGGGTAATCTGGTTTCCCACTGGGAAACCCCACACCTCTGTGTTATCACCACCTAGCACTGTGCACTCTTTCTCTCTATACTTACCCCATTTCTATCAAACACCATCTAGGTATTAATAAGACTAATTTGTTTGCAAAATAAATTTTGTCTCTTTAAACTTGGCCTAATTATTTACACAAGTGCCGCAGGAATACTGATTTACCACATAGGCTCTCTTTAAGTTGGCTTACCTGGACATTTTCATAAGGAACCTCAAATTAGACTTTTGAAAGTGTCCAGATGCTAGGAAACCAAACCAGGATCTTGCTATCATACTTTGCCTGCAATACCTAGAAATTAGGATGAATTCTCCTTTTCTTAAGGTCCTCCAGATACTCTGATGTTCCTGGTCCTGTCAGGAAGTGACATTTCTTACTCACCTGCGAGGAAAGGAACCCTTTTAAGCCAGGACAGTTTTTCATGTCTGAGTGTGCTGTTTCTGTTCCTAAAAACCATGAAAGAAATAAAACAGTGATATTACATTCAACAGGGTAACTCTAAATCCTTGTTCTACCAGTGGAAATATAATATCTCTAGGGATTAAGCCTGATCTCCAGAATTTTCCCAAGACTATAGGAAAATAACATCCAGATATTTTAAAAAAGCACCTGCAAGATGAGCTGAGGGTCTCTCAGTATACAGGAAACTGTCACAAGGTGTGCCTTTTTTCTTTTGAAGCAGCAAAAGAAGTTCTCATAATTCCCAACGCTTTGCGCAAAACATAAGAGATATGGCCCAGCTTTGTAGCTGTTGTCATGCTACCTTACATGCATGTAAATCTGTTAAGGCTAACTCAGTATTAGTGTTCTCTCTCTATTGGGTACTCAGGGGCCTTTTTGTTGTCAGGATTGTTTTATTTCTTCCACAGTGGATATATTATTCTCATTTCTTTCCTTCTAAATGGATTATTCTTAGAAGCAGTCATAGATAGGGCTTCCCAGAAGTTGGTTCCACATGATCAAGCAAACAGTTGTGTTCAGGGTGGGTTAAGTTCCTGGAACCTAATGTTCATACAAGTAGTAGGGGATTCTCTTTTTAAAAAAGATTGTTGGGTGCAGTGGCTCACGCCTATAATCCCAGCACTTTGGGAGTCCAAGGCAGGTGGATCACCTGAGGTCAGGAGTTCAAAACCAGCCTGACCAACATGGTAAAACTCTGTCTCTACTAAAAATACAAAAATTAGCTGGGCGTGGTGGTGGGCACCTGTAATCCCAGCTACTGGGAGGCTGAGGGACAAGAATCACTTGAATCTGGGAGGTGGAGGTTGCAGTGAGTCAGGATCACGCCACTGCACTCCAGCCTGGGCAACACAGTGAGACTCCAACTCAAAAAAAAAAAAAAAAAAAAAAAGAATAAAAAATTCTAGTACAAAATTACAGACCTGTTCGAAGGACTCCTAAAAGCTAAACTTTCTTACCTGCATGGTAAATTTGCCTGTGGCCTTGCATGATATCCCATATGGGCCAATGAGGTAGGAGAGCATTGAATTGCCCCTTACTCCTTTCTGTTCCACTTCCTCTCCTAACTTCCACTTTCTCAAAAAAAAATTTTTTTTTTTAAATTAAAAAGTCTCATATAAGTTTTCACTTTAGCTAATACTGCCTGGGGAAGCCAGACCAAAAAAATATGCTGCTCTGCTTACCTTATATGCTTTGACTTTTTCCTCTGCCATTTGAATCCCCAATAATTCAATCTGTATTGAAAAGATAATGAGGATGCCTACAAACGTGGAATAATTCAGATTAATATTGACCTTTGAATAGCCTGAATGAGACCTCTTGCCAGAAATTTAAAAGTCCGCCTGAGGGGGGCAGAAAAATACATTAAAAGGCCTTTTTAAGTATCAAGCAGGTATGAATATTTATAAGCCCATTTTGTTTATTACTCTTGTCAGTTTCCCATTTTTGGTCAGCCAATGTCTCTCATGATCAAAGATGTTAAAAATTATGAGTAGTGTCTTAGCATACTGAATCCAGCAATATATATATTTTAAAAGCACATCATGATATAGTAGGATTTACTCCAGGAACTCACATTTGAAAATCAGTCAATATTATTCACCGCCCTAACTGTAAAAATAAATAAAACTGCATGATAGTATCAGTAGATGTAGAAAACCTTTTTAAAAGTTAACCTCTCTTCATTATTAAAACAAAAAATATCTTAACAAATAGAAAAAGTGGATTCCCTTATTTAATTATTAGTATATCTATAAGAGACATACACTTAATATTCCACTTTGAAAGAAATAAAAATGTCTTACCCCAAAATATATTTCTTTGACATATTTTGAGATGGCTGTCAGAGGCAGCAAAAGAAGTAGCCTTGCAATGCCATTGTGTGTGGGAAAAATTTGCATCTGTAGAAAATCTGCTTTGATATATACAGGCCTTCTCTTTTCCAGATGTAGGAAGGATTAATGAGAGCCTGACACATTTAAAGGTCTTAAGGAAACAATTCTCTGAGGGATGCTATCTGTGACATTTCATGTACATAACAAGACTACCATTGCTAGCAGACCTCATCTTCTCTCCCTCCTATAACCAGTTCTGCCATGATCCACTTCTTTCTGTAACCTCAAGCTGGTATACAAGCTCCTGCACCTTACTGGGGGCTTGGGCAATCATACATTTCATATGTGTTTTCCCCGGTTAATCTTCTGTTTTTGTGAGTTGATTTTACAACAAACTTTCAGAGTGCTAAGAGAAAGATTTCCCTTGGCCCCTAGAAATCTTATGTTGTAATCAGGAACCCAAAGTTTGGCTCTTTTGAAAGTCCACAGTTAAGGAAAACCAGGAGCTGATCAGCCAGCCTAAGGATAAGAATTTCTTACCAGTCAGATTCCAGGCCCGTCTCTGTGGAATTTGGTCAAGTAGACAATAAATATCACTCTTTGTTCATTTTTCCTGTCCAAAATCTTGACTGATGGGAGAAAAGGATTTGTGTGACCAGTGCTGGTGTATTGACTCTGGTGTACTTTCTGGTACTTTGTGGTATGAATTATATTGTTTCATCCATTTCCTCCTAGAGTAGTCTTTTCTTTGTCTTTCTCTTTCTGTGTTGTTCTGTCATAAAGAGGTGTACAGGTTGAGGTTTTTCTCTTATCTTGTTTTGTTTTGTTTTGTTTGAAATGGAGTATCGCTCTATTGCCCAGCCTGGAGTGCAGTGGTACGATCTTGGCTCACTGCAACGTCTACCTCCTGGGTTTAAGCAATTCTCCCACCTCAGCCTCTCAAGTAGCTGAGATTACAGCTGCGTGCCACCATGCCTGGCTTATTTTTGTATTTTTAGTGGAAACAGGGTTTCACCATGTTGGCCAGGCTGGTCTTGAACTCCTGACCTCAAGTGATCTGCCCACCTTGGCTTCTCAAAGTGCTGGGATTACAGGCGTGAGTGTTTTGTCTTGTTTTTTAAGAGACAGCATCTTACTCTGTCACCCAGGCTGGAATGCAGTGGTGCAATCATAGTTCACTGTAACTTCAAACTCCCGGGCTCAAGTCATCCTCTTGCCTTAGCCTCCCCAGTAGCTAAGACTACAGGCACATGCCACCATGCCCAGCTAATCTTTTAAAAATATTTCTGTAGAGATGGGTCTCTCTACCTGCCCAGGCTGCTCATGAACTCCTGGCCTCTCAAAGCACTAGGATTACAGGTGTGAGCCACCATGCTTGACCTGAAATAATCAATATGCCAGAGGTATATTGATACATTGGCATATTGGGGTGGTGTATTCTGGTCTCTTACTGTCATATTTTGAGGGAATGTGTCCAGAATAATCAACTCAGAATTTAGGTTGGTATCTTGAACTGGAGTATTAGGGAGAAGAGACACAGTAAAATCACACACACACACACACACACACACACCCCTATATTAGAAGACGGGCCTTAAATTCACACTAAAAGTTGATTTCACACTGAATGGTAAAATTACATTTATCTTTTCAGCCACAGGCAGAGCTATACAAACTCAAACTTCCCTAAGTGAGGCTGTGCCTCTACAAAATGGAACTGAGAAGCAAGCCCAGTACAAAGCATGCGCTCACCACAGTTTTCAGTTGAGAATGAAATCAGATAAAGCACAAAATACAGTTGGCACAGTGTCTCACAAATAATGATTTTTGTGCCATGAACCACTCAATATGTGAGGAGAAGTAAAAGATGAGGCAAGAAGCTGAAAGTATTTATGATAAATTGCATCTTATAAAAAACCAGAGGAGTGAGGAACATTATTTTGCCACTTGCCCAACCATTTCAATGTATTGAACTACACTGTGAAAAAACAAATATGATCATATAGAACCCAGTAGTTCAAGACCAGACTGGCCAAAATGCCAAAACCCCCTCTCTACTAAAAATACAAAAAAATTGCTGGCCGTTGTGGCTGGTGCCTGTAATCCCAGCTACTTGGGAGGCTGAGGCATCAGAATAGTTTGAACCCAGGAGGCAGAGGTTGCAGTGAGCTGAGATGGTACCACTGCACTCCAGCCCGGGCAACAGAGCCAGACCCTGTCTCTAAATAAATAAATATTAAAAAATCACAACTCCAATCTCCATGCTATTTCTAAGAGGTAAAGGCACTCAAGTTTTAAAATAAAGGAGTGGATACCTGAATTTAATCAATTCTAGGGTAAATATTTTTCTCACTTTAGTGTCTCTGAAACAGGTATGTATTTTTACAGGGGTGGCCTCCTACCATTATGATACTTTAATTTGCAGCATGTTCCCCTGTTAATGGTGTAGGTAATAATGTCTCTGGTGACCCCTTCTTAAAGAGTTCCTAATCCTGGCTTTATTTTTATTTCATTTTATTTTTTGAGACAAAGTCTCACTCGGTCACCCAGGCTGGAGTGCAGTGGTGCCATCAAGGATCATCTTTCACTGCAGCCTGGACCTCCTGGGCTCAAGAGATCCTCCCACCACAGCCTCCCGGGTAGCTGGGGCTACAGGAACCCGCGACCACATCTGGCTAATTTAGAAAAATTTTTTGTAGTGGCAGGGTCTTGCTATGTGCTTCGGGTGGTCCTGAACCCCTGGGTTAAAGTGATCCTCCCGCCTGGGCCTCCCAAAGTGCTGGGATTACTGGAGTGAACTATGGCTCCCGCTCAGCTTTTCCACTAAAATGCTCTGCTGGCGGGAAATGAGGAGTGCGAAGCAGTGGGTGGGGCTTTTCTTTTACAAAGGCTCTGCCTGGGCTGTTACTTCTGGTGAAGTGCTTGTAACTTTTTAGGTGGAAACGATGCCATTTTGCCTTTATTCTCTCGTCCCTAAGACCAGGAGGCAATTGGAGGATCCTCAAATACCAGGGAGAAACCAGCTAGCAGAAGTAGTATAGTGGGAGGGGAAGACCAAGGCAAATGCCTTAGGAGTGGATGAGAATTGCGACTTCAAATTGGGTCTCCTGACCTGTAAAGGCCCTTTTCTATGCTCCTCTGGACCTGTCCTCTGCCCAGGTTCCTCTAGAAAAGGATGGAATTGGTTGCATGGTATCTTCTGGGTGAGGTTGGGAGAGGATGCGGAAAAGCTCCCGGTAGGGTCTGTAGGTCTCTCGTGAGGATTTCACGGGATGTGTAGATTTTTGGGGAAATGTGAAAGCTTAGAGGAAAGGGACGTTTTTCTTCCGGGCAGAGGCAGTTCCATATTTCCCATGGGAAAGGAGTTTTTAGCTGCACTCTGACTGAAAAGTGGGAAACAGAGAATTCAAGCGCTTGAATATTCGCCTGCTTTGCATTTCCCGAAAGACAGAGAAAACATCAGTGATCCATTCCACAGATCAAGGGTATAGGAAAGTGGACAGCAGTTTGAGATGTTCATTGGCCTTGGAGAGGGAGCGGACCTCTGCCATCAATGCCACTTCCTGCGCCGGAGTCTTGCAGTCCATTTTCTCTCCTACTCTCTTCCATCTACAATCCCCAAATAGCAAGGATATCTAACAGTTAATCATCAGAATAAACGAGTGGTTCCCACAGAATTACATCCCGCAGGAGAGGTACGCGACCGAGAGAGTCGGGGATCAGGCCTGAAGGCGCGGTCAAAAAACGCTGTGCCTTTCATTATCCTCGGAAACCTAGGCCGAGTTTCCAGTTTGGAAGGGAAGCAGTTGTCCGCCCCTCCTGTAGGATCCTGAGAGCTCTGGACTGGGAGGAGACTCTGGGACCGAGGGGTGGCCTGGGAAAGTCCCGCCGCCATGGAGGTTGGAAGGGCTGTTTCCTGCGTAGGAAGCTGTTGGCGATCAGAATGGATTTTACTTTGTTCCTGGAACCAGCCGCCTCCGCTTGGTTCTGGGCCCCTAAACCGCCTCCTCCTCTCAGGCACTATGCACTGGGTTGAATGCAGGAACAATACAGGCTTCCCGCCCAGAACGGAGACTCACGCCTGTGATTCTAACACTTTGGGAGGCCCTGGCGGGCGGATTGCTTGAGCTCAGGAGTTCGAGAACAGACTAGGCAACAAAACGAGACCCTGTCTCTAAGAAAACTACAAAAAATTAGTCGGGTGTGGTATCGCGCACCTGTGGTCCCAGCTGCTCCACCGGCTGAGGCCGGAGGATAGCTGGAGCCCAAGAAGGCGAGGCCGCACTGAGTCGTGATCACGCCACTGCAGCAGCCTGGGCAACAGAGCACGAGAAAGAAAAGAAAAGAAAAGGAAAGGAAAGGAAAGGAAAGAAAAGAAAAGAAAGAAGAAAAAAAGGAAAGAGAAAGAAATGAAAGAAGAAAGAAAGAAAGAGAGAGAGAAAGAAAAATACAACAGACTTCCCTAAGCCCGAGAAAACAGCCTTGGGAATCTAGAGTGGGTAGAGGCCGCAGGACTTTGGTAGCACGGAAAGCACAGTGGGTCCATCGCTGCACCGCTCCTTTCCCGGTGCCGGCGGTTTCTTTCTTTCTTTCCTTCTTTTTTTTTGAGACGGAGCTCACTCTGTCTCCCAGGCTTGAGTGCAGTGGCGCGATCTTGGCTCACTGCAACCTCTGCCTCCTGGATTCAATCCTCCTAGATTCTTCGGCCTCAGCCTCTGGAGTAGCTGGGATTACAGGTGCCTGCCACCACGCCCAGCTAATCTTTTGTATTTTAGTGAGATAGGGTTTCACCTTGTTGACCAGGCTAGTCTCCTGACCTCAAGTGATGCGCCCACCTCGGCCTTCCAAATTGCGAGGATTACAGGCGTTAGCCGCCGCGGTCGGCCGTGGCGCCAGCGGTTTCTCACTGCCATTGCTACTCCTTTGTCGGCGACAGCGGACGCTCTCAGGCGGCGTCAACATTCTTTGCACCAAAAGTTGTTTTTTGCAACAGCACAGGCATTTGCTGCGGGCAAGTGCTTGCAGGATCCCAGCGCCGCTGGTCCTCTCCCCCACAAGTACGTGAGTGTCCCCCGCCCCACAATCTAATCGGTGTATGGAGCCAGAGGTTTCCCTGCGGCACTCTCGCCGGTAGCGTCCAGCGAAGCCGGGGAATCCGCTGGCAGCAAGGTTGGTTTCACTGAGTCTGGAGTTTCTCGGCACCTGCGCTGCTCTGCGCTCTGTGCTGGCCCAGGCAGGTCTCAGCACCACTATGTGCGGGGTAAAGGTATTTGTCTGTTGCGGGTAGGAGAGCTGTTATGAGAGGACTAAAAGTTTATAGTAGAGCCCAACTGGCGGTTTCTTGATCGTATAACCACTAGTTCCGCGGAGCTGGATGTACTTCAGAGGCAGTGTATGTTTCTCTGTGGCATCTCCACAGCTTCCGTCCAAACTGCGGTGTTTCGCTGGCACCACTGCCACGTAGGTCAAGTTCTTCAGTGGCTGCGCGGTTCCCTGCACCGAAGTCACCTGCTTCTGATCCGCGCTTTCTCCCAGATGGCCGACCAGTTTTCTGCTGGTTGTGCTAGATAGAGTTTCCTGGTCTCCGTGCGCCGCTTTCTCCATCCAAGACCCTCTAGTGCCGGTATCACGGTCGCAGCACCCGGGGTTTCCATTGGCTCTTTTGCCAGTGGCGCGGAGTAGGCGATTTTTCTGTCACAGCACTTGTACGGAGTTTCTCGATGGCCGAACCTCTCTTTTTTCTCAGAGTCGATGGTTTCTTGGTGACGGCGCGAATCTTGTCCTTGACAACCCCGCCGGCTGGCGTCACTCGCAGGCTCCCGGCACCGCCATTTCGCCAGCCGAGGTCTCTTGGTCGCAGCACAGCTCGTTGGTCTGCGCCTCCATTTTCTCAATGGCCGCAGCACCCAGGTTGCCGATCTGAGGAATTCGGAGTCGCAGCTGCCGCAGTTGCGCCGAGCCTGGCGTTACCGGGCGGAGGCGGCGCTGGGCTGGCGGAGCCCACCCCTCCTCGGAGCCGGTGGCAGGGGAGCTGCCGGGGCGCCGTCTCTTCCCAGCGCCGCCGCACGGACTCCGGCTGAGTCTCCAGAACCCAGTCCGGTGGCTGCGCCGCTCGGGTTTCTGTGACAGGACTCCACGGTTTCCGGAGTCGTTGGCTTCTCGGTCTAGCAAGTTTCGATTTCGCGGGGCCTGCGATTTCTATCCCTTGTTCAAGGCGTGCAATAGTCACAATCTGATTTCTCAGCCCAAGCAAATTCCGACTTAGGACAAACACCAGTCTGGCCCTGGCTGCGATTTCTAGGTAGTAGGAAATTACTGTTTGGTGATAACGAGGCTGAGTCACCCTATGACTCATATCTCAGCAACTCCGGGTTTCCTGTAGCCTCGGAAATCGAATCCTAACAACCCCGGGTTAGCCCCGCCTCAAGTTTCTTAGTCATTGCAAGTTCTGGTTTCCTACTAGTAAGCTCTGCTTTAGTTGCGTAGGAGACATTTAACTCCTGTAGAAATCTGGGTACCAGCGAATGCGATTTATTATTTTATTTTATTTTATTTTAATTTTTTTTTTTCTGCCTTAGTGATGACCTGTTTAGCAGGGCCTGGGAGCTCTTATACTAAGTTTGGTTTCACAATAGAGGGCCCCGGCTTAGCTAAGCTTGTGTTTTTAAAACTCCTCTGGAAGTCAGGAAATGCCGGCAAACGCGATTTTTCAGTTTCGCCAAGCCCCATTTGACAATAGCAAGTCCCGCCGAACGCTACTTTTTTTTCCTACGATTTTATAGTCTAAGCTAAACAGTTTTAACCGTGACTGTTATTTCTTTATTTAATTTTATAGGAAATTTAGACTTAGTTGTAACATGTACCGATTTAGATAGGATAGAGATATCCTAATCGTAGGATTGCATTACAAACATTTGTAATTTCTTCTTTGTAGGAATGGTTCTCAGTAATTTTCGCTTATTTTTAAATTGTCTTTCTGTGTCTTGCTCTGAGAACGATGTTACCGATGTGCTTGCCTTTCATTTCTATTTGCATTTTAGGCTTCTATTATTTTTACATTGTATTTCTATTTAAATATTATGTATTTTTTTTCTACTAATTTTAAATGTCTCAGCTTCGTGCTCCTTGACTTGCATGCTCAGGACGCGGGGAGCCGATCTCGGTCTCAGCCTTGCTGCTGCCAGGTCCCAGGTTCAGTCTGGCGACTCCGCTTCTTATGCGGAGCTGTCGGTTTTGCGTCAGCACTTTTTTGCCAGTAGCGCCCACTGGGCGTTTTCTCAGTTGGTGCACCAGTCTTAGCGCCCAACAGGACGTTTCACGTTCGCGGGGCCGTAATTCTCTGTGCTGTCTCTTTCTGGGTCCTAGCAACGCTAATATCTCGTAGGAACTTCCTGAACCCCTTTTTACGGTGCAGACCGGTGACTGCACCCAGCCACTGTGCTCTCTAGTAATTCCACAATACCGTTATTCGGGGCTTTTTCTCTCACAACACATTAAAACGGATTAAAACACATTAAACGACTTAAAACACAATAAGATGCCACAACACATTTTTCTGTCACAACACATTTAAACACTGTCAGTTCGTTTCTCCAGAGAGGACTCCTATCTAAGAGCCCGCAGTTTCTTTCTAGCAGCACCATTTATGGCACCTAAATGGCCATTTGTTTGGCAACACCACGGCAATCCGCCGGGTGCCTGCTCTTGCTGAGTCCCAGCGCCGCCAAATTCTTGTTGGCGAGGTCCTTAGTAGTGCTGAGCCCTAGAGGACCGTTTCCTGGTGGCAGCAATGCTCATTTCCCGGACACAGACGGTTCTTGGCCCCTGAAGTGCTCTTTAATCCCTGCATTCTGTAGGGCTACTTCTCTATACGGTTTGCTTAGTGTCTGTTTCATTTCGGTTTCTTTTCTCGGTATGTTTTTCCGTCGGAATTACGGTTTGTTTTGGTTCTATGTACTTTCTAAAATTTTATCGTTTTTCATTTGTTTACTAATTTTCGTGCATTTATTACTATTGAGTTTCATATTTGGCTTGCCTCTGCCCACGAGCTCCGGAGACATAAATATCCAGGCTGATGGTAGTGCTGAAGTGTAATACAGTAAGGTTAAACTTCCTGCAATTGATAACTGTACTGTGCTACTGTGTAAGCTTATGTAAGACAATATCCCTGTTCTTAAGAAATGCATACTAAATATTAAAGTTTACAGGCCATAATTTGCATAATCTTTTAATGCAAATTATGTTCTGTTCCCCAGGAGAGTGCAGTGGTGTGATCTTGGCTCACTGCAACCTCTGCCTCCTGAGTTCAAGCAATTCTTCCACCTCAGCCTCCCAAGTAGCTGGGATTACAGGTGCATACCACCAAACCCGGCTAATTTTTGTAGTTTTAGTAGAGATGGAGTTTTACTATGTTGATTATGCTGGTTTTGAACTCCTGACCTCTGGTGATCCACTTGCCTAGGCCTCCTAAAGTGCTGGGATTACAGGTGTGAGCCATTGTGGTGTCCCCAAATTCTTTAAAGAGAGGAGGAGAGGGAATATGGATAAAAGGTATGCTGCGGCCGGCCGGGTGTGGCGACTTAAGCCTGTAATCCCAGCACTTTGGGAGGCAGAGGAGGGAGGATCGCCTGAAGTTGGGAGTTCGAGACCAGTCTGGCCAGCATGGTGAAACCCCGTCTCTACTAAAAATACAAAAACTAGCCAGGCGTGGTGGCTTATGCATGTAATCACAACTACTCAGGAAGCTGAGGCAAAAGAATCACTTGAACCCGGGAGGTGGAGGTTGCAGTGAGCCAAGATTGCCGTCATTGCACTCCAGCGAGACTCTGTCTAAAAAAAAAAAAAAAAAAAATGCTGGATTTCTGTGGTTCCTTCTTGCATTTTTTCTTGTAAATTTTAAATTATTTTAAATAAAAAGTTAAAAATGTAACATAAGGACTGTATATTCATTATCTTCAATTTTCACATCCCAGTGAATCCTGTATAATGAATCTTTCATTCCACAATTTCATTTTCCTATTACCACAAATGTCAACCTCTCTTTAGCATTTTATATAGCAAATGTATTTCTTCAACTTCCACGACATGTCACTATCCTTTTCTTTTGCTTCAGCAAACACTCAGTCTGTTTGCTCTGGCACATCATCTTTCTTTGTCCAAACTCTGAAATGCCCCAGGGTGAAATATTTTGCTTTGCTAAATATTTTGGAGTAATTTTATACTTGCCAGTGGAACCTATATTATCAACGTTGGTGCATAAAATGAATGCACAAAAAGGGGTAGTTGAGAAGAGTTTTAATAAAGTAACTGACTTCTTACAATGAGCATTTGTGGACAGGTTAAAGGAAACAAATAAAAGGTAGGGAGCACTCCAGACCTTGCACCAGAAGAAAGCGTTACCATTCTTAACTAAGTAGGAGCAATAGAATGAGTGGTGTTAGAGAAAGCAAGCAAGTTCTGGAAGGGCCACTCCACATTTTTTTTTGGCCTTTTTTTCCCTCTGTCACCCAGGCTGGAGTGCAGTGGTACAACTATAGCTTATTGCAGCCTCTGCCATCCCAGCTCATGCAATCTTCCTTCCTCAGCCTCCCAAGTAGCTGTGGCTACAGGTACATGTCACCACACCTGGCTTATTTATTTAATTTTTTTTATTTTTTATGAGATGGAGTTT